GAGCTGATTTTGCGAACCCCTCCTTTGCTGCTCCCCCAAATTCCCCAGAGGAGGAACATGTACCAATACTGCTACCCTTCAGTCGTTTTCCTCCTTTTGAGCCTCGTGGGAGGCCTCGTCGCCACCGCTAAGTTCGCCCCGCAATTCATGTCACAACGCGCCCCGGGAGAGGTCCCGGGAGTAGCAGTATGGGTACTGTGCTGGCCTCCGGCCAGCGCCGCCGATCCGGGGCGCTCCAGAAAATGATGATGATGATGATGATGATGATGATGATGATGATGATGATGATGATGATGATGATGATGATGATGATGATGATGGTGATGATGATGATGTTGATGATGATGATGATGCTGATGCCGATGCTGATGCCGATGATGATGATGAGGAGGATGAGGATGAGGATGAGGATGAGGATGATGATCATGATGCTGATGATGATGCTGATGATGATAATGATAATGATGCTGATGCTGATGCTGATGATCACGATGCTCAGTTGCTGCTGATGATGATGCTGATGATGATGCTGATGATAATGATGATGATGCTGATGATAATGATGATGATGATGATGATAATGGTGATGATGATGATGCTGATGATGGTGATGATGATGGTGATGATGATGATGGTTCTGACGATGATGACGATGGCGATGATGACGATGATGGTGATGATGATGCTGATGCTGATGCTGATGATGGTGATGGTGATGAACACTATGATGATGATGCTGATGCTGATGCTGATGCTGATGATGATGATGGTGGTGGTGGTGATGATGATGATGATGGTGGTGATGATGATGATGATGATGATGATGATGATGCTGATGATGATGATGATGCGGAGGATGCTGATGATGCTGATGCTGATGATGATGACGATGTTGACGATGATGATGATGCTGATGCTGATGCTGATGCTGAAAATGATGATGAGGATGAGGATGAGGATGAGGATGAGGATGATGATGCTGCTGTTGATGATGATGATGACGATGCTGATGATGATGATGATCATGATGATGCTGATGATGCTGATGATGATGATGATGACGATGATGATGATGCTGCTTCTGATGATGATCACGATGCTCAGTTGCTGCTGATGATGATGCTGATGATGATGCTGATGATAATGATGATGATGATGATGCTGATGATGATGATGCTGCTGACGATGATGATGATGATGATGATGATGATGATGATGATGATGATGATGATGGTGATGCTGGTGCTGATGCTGCTGATGGTGGTGGTGGTGGCGATGGCGATGCCCATGATCTTTTTTTAGGAATCCGATGATTATTATGATGATGTTTATCCTGGTAGTGGCCATGGTGACGAGCATGAAGATGATGAGCACTACCCTGGGGAAGCGGTCGAGAGGTCCAGTGGCCCACGTTCCGAAATCGAGCCGCTGGGTGTCAGGAGTCTTCCATGCCCTGTTTCCCGATCCACCCGTCGTCTTTTCTCTCCCAAATTTGTCGAGTGTTCCTACGGCGGGCCTCCTTCACGCATTCGAAGCTCTCTTGCCGTCCGCAGGGTGGTCACTGGTCCGTGTGAGCCTGTGCTGTGTTACCATCGCAGTTGTCGCTGCCGCTGCGGTCGTTGCCATCAACGAGGGGTGCGGACGAGAGGACGTCAAAGTGAGAGCAGAGAACGCCGGGAACGTGAAAGGAAAAAACCCTCGCCCACACACATAGAACAGAAAATGAAGGATTCTTGTCTCTCGGAGCTTTCCTGGGGAGGTCGCGGGGCTCTTGGGGAGCACGGCCCGAGAAGTCTTCTCGGGCCGTACTCGGGTCATCTTGGGCGTCTAGGACCGATCTTTCAGTGAATCGGGGCCGTTGTAGGTTTTTCTGAGGGCCTCTTCGGGCCCTGTTGGTCCGTCTTGGGCCCTCGTCGGGCTGGACAAATTTATGCGGGAATATTCTGGTGGCCCCAGTGGGTGCGCGGAGAGGCCCGAGAGATTTGAAAGTTTGGGGTCCGAGCCCATGAAGGATCCGCTGGCTTGAGGACTGACTTCGGGAAGCGTCTCGGGGCTCGTTTTAGGACTTCTTGGGCCTCGTCTCGGGCCTCTTGAGGGCGTTCTGGATTCTCTTGCGGGCTTTTTGGGAGCCTGTTGCGGCCTCTTGGGGGCGTCTTGGAGCCTCTGCACTGCGCTGCATGGTGGCGAGAATGGCGCCCCCTCCCCCTCCCCCTTCCCTCTGCAGAGCGACCCCCCCTTCCCCTCCCGTTCTTGAGCACGGAGTGGGGTTGGGAATGGCGAGCCCCCTCCTCTCCCCTGCAAAGAAAACGCCATTCCCGTTGCCGAGCACTGAATGGCGTCGGGAATAGCGTCCCCCCCCGCCCCCTGCAGAGCGCTCAAGTCCACGGCTCCCGAGCACTGAATGGCGTCGGGAATGGCGTCGGGTGCGGGGTCCCCCCCCCAGCCCCCTTGCAGAGCGAACCTCCCCCGGTTCCCGAGCACTGAATGGCGCCGGCGGAGCACCGAATGGCGTCGGGAATGACATCGGGAATGGCGTGCCCCCCCGTTCCCTTGTCCACGGCTCCCGGGCGAACGCACCACCCGGCTCCTGAGCACTGACGGGCGTCGGGAATGCCCCCCTCCCCCCTCTGCAGACCGACCCCCCCCCAACTCCCGAGCACTGAATGGCGTCGGAAATGGCGCGCCCCCCCCGCTCCTTGTCCACGGCTCCCGAGCAGCGAACTCCCCCCCGGGTCCCGAGCAATGAGTGGCGTCGGAAATGGAGCTCCCCCCCCCCGTCAACGGCTCCCGAGCAGCGAACCCCCCCGGGTCCCGAGCACTGAATGGCATCGGAAATCGCGCCCCCCCCCCTCCCGCCCGCCCGGGTCCCGAACACTGAATGGCGTCGAGAATGGCGTCCGCTGCCCCCCCGTGTCCACGGCTCCCGAGCAGCGAACCCCCCCCTGGGCTCCCGAGCATTGAGTGGCGTCGGAATTGGCGTCCCCCCCCTGTCCACGGCTCCCGAGCAGCGACTCCCCCTCCGGTCCCGAGCATTGAATGGCGTCGGAAATGGCGTCCCTCCCTGTCCACGGCTTCCGAGCAGCGTACCCCCCCGGGTCCCGAGCACCGAGAATGTCGTCCCGTCCCCTGCCCCCTGTCGGTTCCCGAGCAGCGAACCCCCCCTGGGTCCCGAGCGCTGAATGGCGTCGGAAATGGCGTCCCCCCCCGTCCCCCCTGTCCACGGCTCCCGAGCAGCGAACCCTCCCGGGTCCCGAGCACTGAATGGCGTCGGAAACGTCGAGCATCCCCCCCCCCCCCCTGATCACGGTTCCCGAGGAGCGACTCCCCCCCCGGTCCCGAGCATTGAATGGCGTCGGAAATGGCGTCCCTCCCTGTCCGGCTTCCGAGCAGCGTACCCCCCCGGGTCCCGAGCACCGAGAATGTCGTCCCGTCCCCTGCCCCCTGTCGGTTCCCGAGCAGCGAACCCCCCCTGGGTCCCGAGCCTGAATGGCGTCGGAAATGGCGTCCCCCCCCGTCCCCCCTGTCCACGCTCCCGAGCAGCGAACCCTCCCGGGTCCCGAGCACTGAATGGCGTCGGAAACGTCCCCCCCCCCCCCCCCTGATCACGGTTCCCGAGGAGCGAACCCCCCTTGGGTCCCGAGCGCTGAATGGCGTCGGAAATGGCGTCCAGCCTCCCCCCCCGCCCTGTCCACAGCTCCCGAGCAGCGAACCCCTCCCGGGTCCCGAGCATTGAATGGCGTCGGAAATGGCGTCCCCCCCCCTGTCCACGGCTCCCGAGCAACGAGCCCCCCCACCCGGGTCCTGAGCTTCGAATAGCGTCGGAAATGGCGTGCCCCCCCCCCTCCCCCTGTCCACGGCTCCCGAGCAGCGACCCCCCCCCGGTCCCAAGCATTGAATGGCGTCGGAATTGGCGTCCCCCCCCCCCCCTGCAAAGCGAAGCTTGAGCGAACACAAGTCCACGCTCTCAGAAACTCTCACGCTGGATCGGCGGAGTTTTGGGTTTTTCCTTTTTCGTCCGGCCCGGGAGGGGATTCCCCGAGCTGGCCCAATGGCTGAAGAGGGCATTCAGAGGAGCTCAAACGAGAACCTCGCGACGGGCCCACGGGGCCCGAGAACAGCCCAGACATGGCCGCGCGAGGGACCCCAGGACGGAGAGTGAGGTGCGGGATGTGGCATTGGAGGAGGAGGATGAATAATAATAGTAATAAGACGAAGCATGATAATAAGACGAGTAGGAATAATATTTATGCTACGAATAATAATAACACGGGCAATTATGATAATCATAAGACTAGTAATAATACTAAGGCTTTGAACAAGAAGACTAAGAAGAGCAACGCTAATACCACTAAGAAGTGCACTACTCATACTGAGCATACAAATACTCATACTAATACGAATGAGAGTAGTACTAATACTAATAAGAATACTAATACGAATCTAAGACTAGTAATAATAATAATACTAATACTGTACGGCTAATGAGAATAATGATACTAAGCACAATAAGAATAATAAGAAAACTAAGCATACTAGTAAAACTAATCTTAATACTCATAATATGAATAATAATAAGAAGACGAGGAGGAGGACGAGGTCGAGGCGGAGGAGGAGGAGGAGGAGGAGTCCCCCACTTGCCCACCCCCACCACTCCTCCCTCTCCCGCCCTCCTCATCCTCACTCTCATCCTCCGCATTTTTGCTTATCTTTTCCCTCATCCTACTTCCTTCGTCCTCCCCCGTTCTCCTTCTAGATCGTCATCCTCGTCATCGTCCTCATGTCCATCCTCATTCTCCCTCCTTCCTCGATCCTCCTCTCTCCTTCCTCTTCTTCCTTGCAGCGCGGAGGCGGGGGGGGGGCGAGAAACAGTGGGGGGAGACCACAGACCAGGAAATCGCAGCCAGCAAGGCCAGCGGGACAGGGGTTATCTGGTGGGCGGCGACCAGGGCATCACGACGAACTGAGCGAGCGGGTCCACGGACCCCAGGTGAGGGCGACGGCCGAAACATCGCAGTCAACCGTTCGTGAAGAGGATCTTTGGAACGGATGCCTTGCACACGCAGTCATTGTGGATCGAGCAAGTTCTCACCGACATTTTTTGTCTCACGACAAACAGCTAGACACTCTGTTCATACACATATTCAATGCCCATGGCGGCCATCAAGCTCCATTTTGTGATGACAGCCCAACTTCTTCTGTCAATTCGCGGTTGGGTGATTGTGTCCAAAAGTGCGGCGCCCGATGTGGGGCTGATCCAGACTCATGTCTTGGACCACGGATCGCCTGGTTGTGTTGACAACGATGCAGGTGCAGTCCAACTTGCAAAAGATCATGTGCGTGTGGATGACGTCAGTGGTTGTTCGGATGTCGGGCCGTATTGTGCGGACACGAACCTGTCGAGCCAAGTTCAGGCAGTGTGCTGCGCCACCTGCAGCCAGGGGCCCGAACCAGAGCCTGACGTGGTGCATTGTCAAGAGCATTCTGATTGCCAGGGTTCGCAATTCTGCTACGATGGTACGTGCGACAGCTGCAGTCAGTGCCAATTCTGCTCCGATGCTGCCTACGTCGACGAGTGTGGGCACTGCGGGACGGGGTTCCCCTTGCTCGAGACAAGTCCCTGCCATTCCCATGAATACGTGGTCACCAAGGGGGCGCTTACGGTCACACACGCGTGGAAAAATCTTTCTTCAGATGAGCAGTTGCTCTTCCTCGAGAAAAAGTTTGGCGAGCTCGACAAGGATCAGTCTTCGACCCTGGATGTGGACGAGCTAGTGGGAACCCTAACCGGACAGGACCTTGCCGCCATCGAAGCTGCCAACGGCACGCTCAACGCCCCCTTTGACAGCGTCTTGCTTCCCAGGGCTTCGGTACAAGAGTTTGTGGATAATCACAGCGCCCATGGGAATGCGTTCCTGACCCTCGACGAGTGGCTTGCCACGACTCCTCAGCCCGCTCAACGAGCTGCATCCCAGAAGGCGTTGCGCGGGCCCTCGTGCACCTTCGAAAGCATCTTCTCACTTCCCAGCACGTGCTCCGAAACACAGTGGGTAAACAATTGCGGCAACGCTTGCAGTAACAGCTGCACCAGTTGCCCGAGGTTGGCGCATACGAACTCGAGCACCGTTGCAAGAGTTTCCAGAGATTCGGACTCCGTTGCGCGAACGTCCCAGGAGCTTGAGTTCTGGGGCGGGAGGCGTCGGCGTCGTTGGTGGAGCGTCGTTACGGATGTGGTGGACACGGTCGTCGATGTGGTTGTCTGCACTGTGAGCTGCGTCACCAATTGCGTGTGGTCGTGTTTCACCGAGGCAGTGGAGTACGTATACACGTGCGTGGTCGACACCGTGGTAAATGTGCTCATGAGCTTCGGTGAATGTCTCTCGGCTGTGATGAACGCCGTCAACGACGCGGTTGGTAACATGTGCGGCTTCGATCTCATCCCCACAGGTTGTTCCGGCGTCTGGGATTGCATATCGGAGGGGGCTAGCAATGCTCTCTCATTCTTCGAGTGCGGATTCTCGATACTTTTGGATGTGCTCGAGAACATGGTCATGGCAAATCTTCGCTGCCTGCCGAACATCGCCGACGGCATCAGGGCGGCCCTATTTCCTCCCGAAGCGATCATTGCTACTACGGTTTTCGAGGCGTTGTGGGATTTCGGCGAGAGGGTCGTAAACGGGATCTACTCAGAAGCTGCGGCCGTGAGCATCGACTTCTGTTGGAACTCAGCCCCCACTGCCGAATTCACTGACTGTGGTGCCTTCGATTTCGTCAGCAGTATGACTATTTGGGATGTGCTTGACGTTTTCGGGATGGCCCAGCGTTTCGCGGATACCGTGGCGAAGTTCACTAATTGCCTTACGAAGACAACAAGCCTCCCAGGGCTCAGTTTTGGCATCCCCACTCCCTTCCTGAACGTTGACTGGACAGGAGGCTCGTGGTGTGCACCAAGTTTTGTCCAAACTGCGGCCAAAGGAGTCATTGGAGTGTTCAGGTACATATCTTCAGGACGGATGCTCGATGACCTCATCATTGTAGGTGACAATCTCCTCACCAATCTTCAGACGAGGCTGGAAGCAGTGTTCTGTGACGAAGGCGACTTTACCATCACATTGGGCGTCGACCTCCAGTTCGGATACGCAGTTCTTGGAATCAAGGCTCAGGCTGGATGCCTCAACGGAAGATTCGCCGCCAAGATTGTTGGTTTTGCCACGGGCAGAATTTCCATCTTCGGTGCGCCGTACAAGTGGGAGCCATCTGCCTCTGCGTTCTTCAGTATCGGTTGTACGGCGGGGCCCTCCAGCACGGAATGGTCGTACTGGGAGTCGTCTCTGAACGGCATCTTGGCGTTCGATATTTTCTCAGGGTCGGTTTCTTTGCCCCTCTATCCACAGCCAAAGCTCGAGTTTGGCTACTCGTTCTCGCTGAAACTCTGGCCCCAACCAGCCCCTCCCCCTCGCCTGTCGGAGGGGGAGTTCAACAAGACATCGCTGCTGCCGGCGCTGCGCCTCCTCTCTGGGGCTACGTCCGACCCCAGCTTCGGCGAAGACGTCAGGGGCAAGTTTCCAGACCCAAAGCCGATCCTCGAGGGGGCCCGCAACGGCTCTCTCCAGAGGTCCAGCATGAACAGGAGTGCCGGTGACCTCGCCGGCAGGATCGCCATCTCTGTCACGAAGAACTTTTGCTTCACTTGCGACGATTTCGGATCGGAGCCTGCCTGGGTCACGGGCCTCTCCAACATGGCTCAGAAGTTCGTCTGCGCTGTGGGCCAGGCGATGGCGGGAGCCTCCTGGGGTGCACTGAGCCTCGCAGAGTGCTTCGCCCGGGTGACGCAGTGGGAGGCGGCCGGGAACTACTGCGAGTACTTGTACTCCGACTCGCCGAACGATGGCTCTGGCCGCCCAGGGACCACTTGCGCCTGTATGCCGCCGAATGCGATGTCTTCCAGGGCTTGCTACGCATCGGTTGGAACCAGGGCCAGCGAGGGGTCTGCGCAGTTCGTGACCTACCGGCATCAGAGGCTGACTTGCGAGACTGGGAGCGGAGCGGCTTGCAAGACGTGTGTCACGCCGCAGGACCGAGTGGTGAGAGACCAGTGTGAGACCTGCAACGACGGGCACGTGTTGCTCGGCTACGTGTGCTCGCCCTACACTCCGTCGCCAACGCCCCATCCGACTCAGTATCCGACGCCAAGCCCGACCCCATATCCAACGCCATATCCAACGCCATATCCGACGCCAAACCCGACGCCAAGCCCGACGCCATTGCCACCCGGCGCCACACATTCTCCGACGCCAAGCCCGACGCCAGGCCCGACGTCGTTTCCGACGCCGTATCCGACGAGAAACCCGACTTCGTATCCGACGCCAAGCCCGACGCCGTATCCGACGCCAGACCCGACACCCCATCCGACGCCGGCTTTGGCGGGGGATTCATGGGTACAGTTGCTGGACAATTTTGAATACTACGGCGTCGCGATGCCCTCATATGTTACACCTATGGCCTACGGTTCGTTCACGCAGCTGCGAGCTACTTACGTAGGTGGACCTGGCATCTGGTGCGATACGAGGAGGTCGGGAGGAACCGTGTGGCAACAGTGCTGCTGTGGGTACTCCGGGTCATTCGAGTTCATGAAGAACGGAGGATACCTCTTGTCACAAAACCAGTGGGGCACGTTGCCATCCCAGTGTTCAGTGTCTGGGTACACAATCACTTGCAACGTCAATTTTGCTCTGTCGAGTGGCGATACGATCCTCGCTACTTGGATGGAGCCTTCCCGGGGAGTGTCGCTTGGTGACAATGGCGGCAGCATCGTGGTGGACGTGTACGGGTATGGAACGGTCTCGCAAGGTTGGTCTAAAATTTACCAGATCCAGGATGGCGATAGGGGGTCCTATTCATTCCCCTTGACGACCGGTGCTTACGGTAGCATTTCCTCGGCGATCGGTTCAAGTCATGCAAAGTTGTCTGATTCTGAGATCAACTCCATGGCGGTGGCGAGGGACGGCTACTCGCACGTTTATCAAATCAAGAGCTCGGATTGCTCTTCGTACCTCTACATCAAGTCGAACGACGCTTACGTTGACACATCGGCATCATTCGGCCTTACCAAGGGCAATACCTTGGTTGGCCTCGGGACCTCATATGGGGCAGTGTCGACATGGGCCACTCTAAAATCCACCAGCCACGGCATCGACCTACTCTACACCAGCCCCAACCTCGGTGGAGAGTCGTGCTGCCGTTATTTCTTCGGGCATGGGTCGGTCGATTGTTGGGGCGGCCCCTCGGGTTACCGCTGCGTCAACGGTGGGTCCGATTGCTCTGGCTATAAAAAGCTGGAAGATGTCGCGTTCTACGTCTGGGCGGGCGGAGCGACGTACAGCCCCACGTCCTACCCGACCCCCCGCCCAACGCCCTTCCCGACGGCCTACCCGACGCCAGACCCGACGCCCCTCCCGACCCCAGTTCCGACGCCCTACCCGACGAAGCATCCAACGCCAAACCCGACGCATGTCCCGACTCCAAGCCCGACGCTGCGCCCGACGCCGTTTCCGACGCCAAGCCCGACGGCGAGCCCGACGCCGAGCCCGACGCCGAGCCCGACGGCGAGCCCGACGGCGAGCCCGACGGAAACCCCGACTGCATTCCCAACGCCAAGTCCGACGCCAAACCCGACGTCATTCCCGACGCCGATCCCCACGTCCGCGCCCACCTACCCCCCGCTTGGGGATCTGGCGTCATCGGGCACTTGCAGCTGCTCCAGTCCCCCCTGCGGCTGCAACTGCTGGGATTGCACAGAAGAGCGTAAAGCTGCTGGATGCTGCAGCTGCGGGAGTGCTTCGAGTTGCGGTTATGCAGACGTGGTTTCTTCCGTGTGCGACGGTTGCAATGGTTGCTGGCGCAATGGCAAGTGCGGTTGCAGCACAGATTCGGCCACTTGGCCCTACTATGAGGCATTCGATCTCACGTGCTCGAGTGATCGAGGCAGCTACCTGTCCTACCACTACGTGTCACCGACGCCGGCTCCAACGCCAAGCCCGACGCCAAGCCCGACCCCGCTGCCACCTGGCGTCACACTGTCTCCGACCCCGAGCCCGACGTCAAGTCCGACGCTAAGCCCGACGCCAAGCCCGACGCTCTCAGAGGCGCAGAAAACTTGCGGGTGCCCCAGCCCACCTTGTGGTTGCAATTGCTGGGATTGCACAGAAGCGCGCAAAGCTGCTGGATGCTGCAGCTGTGAGGATGGTTGTGGCTTCTTCGATCTCGCAGGTTCTAAGTGCGACGGATGCAATGGTTGCTGGCACGGGGGCCTTTGCGGTTGCAGCACAGAGCCGTCGACCTGGCTCTACTACAGGGCATTCGGTCTGACGTGCTCGAATGAGACAGGCAGTTACTTGTCCAATTACGCACAGATCGCTGGCGAGTACACCACGGAGGAAACTCTTCCAGATAGCGTGACTTCGGAGGACCTCATGAGTTCCACTACCTATGTGGCCGCTAAGAGGACGGGTCTGGCTAACGCTCTGAACGTGACTGTTTCCGCAGTTGAAATCACGGGCTTCGTCATCACGAGCCATTCCGATCGGATCTCTATTGTCCGCCAGCTCTCGCAGGACTCACACGTCACTGTGACGACGAAGTTCACTGTGCAAATCGCTGGCAGCAGCAGTGCCGAATCTCTCACCACCGCGATTGCTGGAATGTCTGCCGCCGTTGAGGCCGAGACGAACATGGCAATGGCTGCTTCTGACTGGAGTGGTGAACCGGTCATTACCGTGGCCCCTACTCTGACGGCTCCCTCCGTCGGCGCCGCGGGTTCGACTGCGGGAGTCACCAGTGCTCCCACGCCGGTTCCGGTGATTATTGGGGCCAGCATGGGCGCAGTCGCGGGCACCGGCGATCCCCATTTGCAGAACATCCTCGGCGAGCGTTTCGACCTCATGCAGGCGTTCACCGCAAAATATACACACAGACACCCTTTAATGGATTGTTCCTGGGCCTCAGGGGAGGGTGGTGGTGTACACATCACAACTGGGAGCCAGCGACTTTTACACACCTGCACCCTCCATGAACGTACATGCAAGGTTCGTCGGTGGGTGTCTGTGTATATATTTTCGTGACGTAAGGCGGGCAGGCACGTCTTGGTCCAAATTCCGAGGGGCGCGCGCACCGAGGGCACCCTGCTGCGCGTCGAGGCGGAGGCGTCAAGGCTCGGCGAGCTGTGCGCGGACATGTACTTCCAGGAGCTGAACCTTACGGGGAAGTGGGCGGAGGCAAAGCAGACTGGCGGTCTCCGGTACTGAGAGGAGGAAAAGGTACCTATACCGCTACCCTTCTCTCGCTTTCCCCATTTCGGGGTCTCCTGGAAGGCCCTCGTCGTCAACCGCTGAATTCGCCTCGAAATTCTAGTCAGATCGCTACCCGGGAGAGGTCCAGGTAGTAGCTGTATCGGTATCTTTGATTTCCCCAGGTACCGCGCAGCAGAGGCCGTCAACGAGGATCCCAAGTGGGTGCAGTTTGGGAGGGTGGAACTCAAAGTCGCTCACGGACTTACGCTGAAGGGGATCCGCTACCTCAACGTTTACGCGAAGCACTTGAGCCGCGCTGGGTTCTCCGTCGGAGGCTTGCTGGGTGAAGACGATCACAGCAAGGAAGCGACCAATCCCCAGAACTGTGAGCGTCGTCAGATGAGTCTTCTGGTGAGTGACGGCCAGGGCACGCCCGCTGTCTCCAGCATGGAGCCTAGCTGGGCCAGCCTAGCGTAAAGACACGTTTCTGGTCCATGTTGATCCCCCTCCCGGGCTTTGCGCATGGTTGGTTTCGCCGCCTCAATATAGATAATATAACCCCATACTTCAATAACACGGTGAAGGCTCAGCCTAACCCAGGTCCCCGTCCTTGCACTAGGGGTAAAACCTATGGGTGGTCGGGCTTGATGCGTCTGCAAGGAAGACTCACTATCCCTGCTGTTTTGGACCTCCCAACTGAGGCCACCCAAAGGGTCAGGGCTCCGTCACTTGCTGACCACCACCACCTCCGACGCAGGGGTGCCTGCTCCTGCCACGACCACCCAGAACACCGCGCACACACACGGTCAGCGGTGCCAAGACAGCGTGCGACGTGGCGCCGCCGGCCCGCTTCTTACACGCCATCCCCCCTCCTCCTCCTCCTCCTCCTCCTCCTCCTCCTCCTCCTCCTCCTCCTCCTCCTCCTCCTCCTCCTCCTACCTCGGGGACAGCGTACTCGGAGGAAGCCCCGGCAGGGGTATACAGCGTGCACAGGGTGACCTCTCGTAGGGGGGCGCCTCCCGGGGATGGCGTGCGCGGAGGAAACCTTCTCTTAGGCGAGAAGGGCGCTTTCCGGAGATCGGTGTTGCACGCTGTCTTTGCGACGCCAATCGTATATAGCTGGGGCCCACGGCCAGGACATCTTCGGCCGGGGCCTCTGCCCCGACCGCAGTGTGGGGGACCGCGGCCCCCGGACCGGGACGGGACCTGGACAGCAAGACCGCCCCCCCCCAAGCGGCCCGAGTGGGCCTGAGCACGGGCCAGTGAGTCTCCAAGATTGCCCCAGTGCTTCCAAGATGCCCCAAGGGCGAAGAGAACTCCCGCGAGGCCTTATAGGCCTAAATCAGTGATTTGTTTCATGTGTTCTTTCGTGATTCCAATAAAATTGTCGCTGTCTCGGCCTTCAGCGCCCAGGACGGCCCAGGCTTCCCGCAAGACCGTTACCAGACGCTCCCAAACGGCCCCGCGAGAGTCCCGCGCTGTCCCCAGGAGTGGCCCAGTTATGGTCCTCCTATTCCTCACCCTCTTTCTCCTCACTCTTCCCTCCTCCCGCCTCCCCCCTCTCCTCCCTTTCGCGTGCCCGCCGCTCCTATTCTGGCACCTTCCCCCCAGACGCCCTCCCCCGTCTCGCCTCGCCCTCTTCGGGATGTCGTCTGAGCGCGCCACGGTTAAATCGGGCCTGTCCCTCTACAGGGGGAATATTCAAAAATACTCAGAAAATAGTCAGGTGACATTTTTTTCAGTATTTTTGGGCATCTTTTGTTTATTTGTTGGGTTTTTTATTGTAGTGGCCTCCGGCCAGTGCCGCGGATCTGAGACGCTCCAGATGATGATGATGCTGATGATGATGCTGTTGCTGTTGCTGATGCTGATGCTGATGCTGATGCTGATTGATGATGATGATGATGATGATGATGATGATGATGATGATGATGATGATGATGATGATGATGATGATGATGATGATGATGATGATGATGATGATGATGATGATGATGATGATGATGATGATGATGATGATGATGATGATGATGATGATGATGATGATGATGATGATGATGATGATGATGATGATGATGATGATGGTGATGTGGCGATGGTGGTGGTGGTGGCGATGGAGATGGTGATGATCCCGGCCCCCCCTCCCCACCTCCCCTCCTCTCTCCTGCCCCCTCCCCCTCTCTCCTGTCCCCCCCCTCCTTCTCTCTCCTTTCCCTCCCCCCCTCTATCTCTCATGGTCCCCCCCCCCCCATCTCTCTGTCCCCCCCCCCCCCCTCTCCCTCCTCGTCTCTCCTGTCCCCACCCTCCCCCCCTCTCTCCTGTCCCCCCCCCTCTTTCCTTAGCCCCCCACCCCCCCCCTTCTACAATTTACTAAATATGGGAATACTACTTCTCCCTCTCTTCCCTACGGGTTGAGTTGGTTTTGACGATTTGAAAAAGTCATGGCCCCCCCCCCCTCTCTGACCCCCCTTGCGTATTGTTTTTTACACACAGGATCCCCCAGAGTTGGGTTTTCGCATGCATTTGTTTCCAACATGCTGCTCTCGCTGAGGCGCCGGCCTCATTTTCGGGCCCCGCTCGTTCCGAATCGTGCACCCGCTGCAGCGCTGGCCTCATTTCCGTGCTTCCGCTCGTTCCGAATCGTGCTCCCGCTGCAGCGCTGGCCTCATTTCCGCGCTTCCGCTCGTTTCGACTCGTGCTCCCGCTGCAGCGCTGGCGTCATTTCCCGTGCCATGCCACGGCATGCAAATGCAATGCTATGTTTGATACTACGCTTGCGGTGCCTTCGTTTCTACGCCATTGCCATGCCGTTGCTTACCAATGCATCGCGTACCCTTTCGGATCATTGCCCTGCTCGACATCCGACTGTGCGAGTAGAGAGGAAAAACATCTACTACGCCCACATGGGAAGGGAGGGGAAGCGGGGAGGGGTTAGGATGTCAGAGATATGAACCGCGACCTAAATCTAGCTTGCATTTACCCTTCTCGATCTTCCTCCGGTCCCGACTCCCTATCTCCTGTCCCCACTGTTTTTTTCCCTTCTATGCCGACCCCACCTCCTATCTCCGGTTCCACCCCCCACTCTCTTCTTTCCCCTCCCCCCCAGGCCCCCTCTCGCCTGTCCCCCCCCTCCCTGCCTCTCTCCTGTACAATTACTCAATATGAATACTACTCTCCCTCTTCCCCTGATGACGTGCTGGGAGTGTTCGCCCCCCTCTCCCCCGCGTGCTGTTTTTTTGCACACAGGATTCCCCGGAGTTGGGTTTTCGCTTGCATTTTTTTTCAAAATGCTGCTCTCGCTGAGGCGCCGGCCTCATTTTCGGGCCCCGCTCGTTCCGAATCGTGCTCCCGCTGCAGCGTGGGTCTCATTTTCGGATCGGTGTTTTGCCTCCGTCGTTCAGGATGGCGGTCTCGCCCCAGCGCGGGCCTCTTTCTCGCGCGCCCATCCGCCCGCCACCACCGCACCGCGCCCCGCCCCGCCCACCGCCACTTCCACCCACCAACGCACGCACGCACGCACGCACGCGCACCGCCACCACCACCCCACTACCCCACCCACAACCACCACGCTACACCGCGTCACACCACATCACACGCGCCGCACCCAGACACACACGCACGCACGCACGCACATAAAACACGCCCCACACACACACGCACACACACCCCACCACCACCGCCCCACCACCACGCATCACGCACGCCACCGCACCGGCCACCCCAAACCACCAAGACGCGGACACCACGTCACATCACACACACGCGCAACACACGCCCACACACACCACCAACCCCACCACACCACCACCCACCACCACCACCACCACCACCACCACCACCACCACCACCACCACCACCACCACCACCACCACCACCACCACCACCACCCCACCACCACCACCACCACCCCCACCACCACCACCACCCACCACCACCACCCCCAACCACCCACCACCACCACCACCACCACCACACCACCCACCACACCACACCCCCCAACCAACTACCACCACCACAACCACACCAACCCACCACCACCTACCACCCACCACCACCACGCACGCACGCACGCACGCACGCACGCACGCACGCACGCACGCAGCACGCCGCACGCCACGCAGCACGCACCACGCTAGCACGCAAGCACGCACGCACGCACGGCACGCACAGCACGCACGCAAGCAAGCACGGCACGCACGCACGCCACCGCACGCACGCAACGCAAGCACGCACGCACGCACGCACGCACGCACGCACGCACGCACGCACGCACGCACGCACGCACCGAACGCACAGGCACAGCACGCACCACGTACACGCCCGCACGCACGCATCGCACGCACGCACGCACGCACGCACGCACGCACGCACGCACGGCAACGACACAACTGCACGCACGCACGCATGCAGCACGCACGCACCCGCACGCCAACGACGCACGCACGCAACGCACGCACGCACGCACGCACGCACGCACGCCGCACGCACGCACGCACGCACGCACGCCGCATCGAACCGCACGGCCGCACGCACCACAGCAGCACGCATCGCACGCACGCACGCACGTCACGCACGCACGCACGCAACGCAACGCACGCAACAACGCAAGCACGCATGCACGCACTGCACGACGCACACACGCACGCACGCACGCACGCGCACCAACACCCACTACGCACGCGCGCGCGGAGCCACAGGTCCGCTACGACACGCGTCCGCGGATAGAGAAAATCAGCGCCATGGTAAGGGATGGGAGGGAGGGGTAGGACGTCAGATATGACGCGAGCGCACCTAGCTTGCATCCCTCCCCCTACCTCGCTCCCTCCCTCTCTCCTTCACCCAGTCTTATCCTTCTGGCATCCCCCCATTCCCCTGCTCCATGCCCCACCCCATCCTCCTCTCCCCCCCCTCGCGTGTCAATTCTTTCGTCGGTGGCGTGGGCCCCCCCCATCCAGAGCGAAGCTTGAGCTCCCCCCCCCTCTCTCCCTCCCGCCCCCCCTCGCGTTTCCCGTTAATTCTTTCGCGGTTTTCGTCGTTTCGTCCCCCCCCCGCCCCCCCCCCCCCCCCCCCCCCCCCCCCCCCCCCGCCCCCCCCCCCTCCAGAGCGAAGCTTGAGCGAGCTCAAGCCCACGCTCTCAGAAAAACTCACACGCCGGATCGGCGGATTTCTCGTCAAGTCCCCCTGTAGGGGGACAGGCCCGACCTAACGCCACGGGGACAATTCGGTCATGAAATCAGGCGGCATCCCCCGAGGTATCCGCGGCTGTCTGACGGGGCCCAGGAGCTCCACGTGGCGTGTGCCCGCGCAAGAAGCCCCAGGAGGGCCCCCCCGAGGAGCCGTGGGCGCCTCCAGGCCGTGGACTTTCATGGCGTGGCTCGCCCTCCACACTGGAGTGAAGTCGGGCCTGTCCCCCCACAGGAAGAATATTCAAAGATAGTCTAAACATAGTTTGGGGACGATTTGAAGAGTAGTTGTTTGATCACTTTTTTGGTCGAAAGTCCGCCTGCAGGGGGACATGCCCGACCTAACACTAGAGCTTGACTGGCACCCCAGGTCGAGAGCCTTGAGACGGGGGTGAATGCAAACGGGGCCAGCCGGAGCACCGGGATCCTGCACTGGGATCCTGCACCGGAGCACCAGGGCCAGCCGGAGCACCGGGGGTCCTGCAAAACCAGGGGCGCATTGAGCCAGGCTTGCGCACAGGATCCCGCAAGATCTGGCAGGATCTTACAGGACTGACCCGGGTTTGCATTGACCCAGGGCAGTGCGTCCCCGACCCGTCGCCCAGGTTCTGGTCGAGCCCCCAGGAGACCCCGAGAGCCTCCAGGGAGCACTGGGGGAGTTGTTTCTCTTGCGGAGCTGTGGCCTCGAGCTCGGGGCCCCTTGTTTTCGTTTGTCGCTTGTCGTCGTCTTCCCCTGTGCCCTGGCCCACGGGGCCCCGCCCTGCTGGCCCCCGCATCTTTGCTGGCCACAAACCTCTTCGCATCCTCAGCCTCACGGGCCGGGACCCTTGGCCGCGACGCCAAGGGTTCGGGGCATTTTTGTCGCGGATGCCCCGCATGGAACGTATACGTGTGGCCGCGTATCCGAGGGATCGCGGCCCAGAATCCAGACCGCGATGGCGCGGATACGGGTATGTTTGCCGTTCGTGAGGACTTCGAACAGGCCCCTGGTTTGCGACCACCGACCGCTAGTGAACTCTACCATTGCGGGTGCCATCGGCGGTGGAGTATCGGATGCTCTCTCTCATTCTGTTTGCCCGCGCACGTCGTGGTCGTCTGCAGCTCCTTCGGCCCTGAATCCTCGCGTGGCATCCCTGGGCGGGCGCTTTATGCAGGCGCTTGCCCAGGCCGCCATCGAGGGTGCGGGGGCGATGCTTTTTCAAGGCCTGCGAGCCGCGCTCTGCGAGATGCTCGTCGGCCTTCCCTCGGCACCTTTCGCGGACTACGTCGGCTCCTCCGCGGGGTCCTCGTGGTCCGCTCAGGCCGACCTAAGCGGCGGAGGGTACTGCCCTCCCGCCGCTGCAGGTGCGGCCTGCCTCACCGTCTGCCTGGGGCTGGCGATGGACCTGCTGCTCTCGTCGGTGGTGGCCCTGCTGGTGACCACTGCCGCCTGCAGTCTCTGCGGGTGCTGTATCGTCGGGGCTCTGGTGGCCTGCTGGCGGGGGTTGTCAGGGCACCCTGTAAGAACGGTTTTTTGAAGGCAGATCTGCCTTCAAAAAGAACGGTTTTTTGAAGGCAGACCTGCCTTCAATGTAAGAGCGGTTTTTTGAAGGCAGATTTGCCGTCAAAAAACCGTTCTTATTGAAGGCAGATCTGCCTTCAAAAACCGTTCGCACGCGGGCGGCGATCGCAGCCATTGGGGGGCTCGGCCGCGGCCCGCATCGCGCCCTGGCCTACGGCCCAGGCGCGCAGGCGGAGGAGCGCGCGCCGGCCTCGGCACGAGGCTCCGTCGTTGCTCCTCATCACGGCTGAGCCCGGCCAGGGGACTGCGCGCCGCCAGTCCGCCAGCAGCCATGGCGGACGACGCATCCGCGTCGGGGCGACTCGCCATCCCCGACGGGCCGATTTGGCCCGACCTTCACCCGTCCTCGTCCACGACATCGACGCGTTACGACCGCTGGCGGCTGGGCGAGGGCGAGGTGAGTTACGCCGCGATCCCCTTGGCCACTCGGCCTGGGGGCATCTTGCCGGCGCTGCCTGGGTCTTTTCGCTCAGCCGAACTTTTCAGTTTGGCGGGGGCGCAGGGGTTCAGCTGGCCGGTCGGTCCCTTCCAAGTGGCCAGCGCGCCTTTGATCGGCGCGGCGTCGCGCCCGCTGAGCGCGACCGCTTCAGTGCTGGTGGTCGATCTAGAGATCTCCGAGCTGGAGCTGGAGGCTCTCGCCCCTCTCGACGAGGGGGAAGCCGACGGGCTTGTCCCGTTCGGCTCTGCCCGCGGCCCGGGGGTCGTCGGCCTGCGCGGCGGCAGCGTGGCGATCCACGGCGTGGCGCCCCTGGGCGGGGAGGAGACGCTCTCTGGCCTGGTGAGGGCGGGCGAGGGGGAATACGACGCCGACGTCGAGGAGCGCCCCTCCCCTCCCCGTGCGAGCGATGCTGCTGCCGGCGGTGCTTCCACCGCCTCCGCGGGCCCATCTCGGCGCCGCGCGGAAGCCCTGGGCGAGCCAGGCCCGCCCGCGTGCGGGATGGGCGATCGCCGCGGCTCTGGGCGAGGGTGCGCCTGTGTCCCGCGCAGAGGTCCAGTTGGAGATCCGGCGGCTGCTGGCCGCGATTGCAGCCGAGTCGGGGGCTCCGCCTCTGGGCGCGCGCCCGAGCGCGCTGGGCGCCCGCGTCGAGGCGCCTCTGCGGTTTTTGACGAGGCTGCGCGCGTGGGCACCCCTCAGGGGGACCTGCAGGCGATGCTGGCGCAGTCGCCCCCCCCCCCCCCCGCAGCGCGTCCAGAGCCGCGCCCCGACGCCCGCGTTGGCGTTGGCGACGGCGTGGGGGAAGAGGGCGCGCGTGGGCGCGCGTCCCCTTCTGCCGCCGCCATTGGCGCCGCCGCCCCCCCCCTGCCCTCCCGGGGCTGGCCGTGCCCGACGGGGTCGGCGGCTGCGTTGGGGGTGGCGTTGCGGGAGACGGGCTTCGCCCGAGCAGCGGCCCAGAGTCCGCTTTGGGGCTGGCGTTGCTGCGTCCGCGGGGGCCCCTTCCAGCTGCCTTTCTCTCTGCTCGTGGATCCTCGCTGGCTGGAGGCTCAGGGCGATTGCGTGAAGGAGATGGCTCACTTCCGTTTTCGTCTCGGCGCCGAGCGGGCGGGGCGGGCGAAGGCTTCCGCGGCGGCCGAGTCGAAGACCCCGCCCATGGTCAAAGCCCAAGGGGGGAAGTATGCCTCGAAAGGCAGCCCCGAGAAGGCCAGCGGGGTCTGTGGGGGGGGGGAGGGGCCCGCGCATTCTGCGCGCGGTAGTAGAGGGCGGGGGCCGCGGCGAGCTGATGTTTCCAGCGATTTTGCGACCGCCCGTGCGTGCCTAAGCTGGGCTGGGCCGCGGCCGTGGGAATTTGCTGCTCCAGCGATGCTGTTCTGGCCCCGAAGGGAGATGCGCGTTCTGCGGTCGCGGCCCGCGCTCGGCCTCGGACCCCCCTCGCGCCCCGACGGAGCCCGTGGTTTCTCCTCGATCTTGTGGTGCGGGCGTTGGTTCGCCCGCCGCTTTGCCGCTGCAAAGGTCGTGCCTTTCGTCGTGGGCCTCGCTGCCCTGCTGCGCCTGTTCCCAGGCGCGAACTTCGATTTCGCCCGCTGGGCCGCCGCGCTTGCCAACGTGGGGCAGGGTGCTCGGTGTTCTCTCGCGCCTGTCTCCCGCTCGTCCCTACGTGCGCGGGTTGGGGCGCTCCTCCTTCGGAGTGCTCCCCCCTCGATCCTTGGCCGTGCCCGCCTGCCCCCGTTCTCGAGCTTCCCGCGGCGTTGTCTACACGTCGCCCTCGTGGGCGTTGGCAGTTGGAGCGCGCCGCGCGCGCGCTGGCGCAGCGCGCGCGCGCCGTGATTGCGCTGTACTGACTGATGTTTGGCAGGCCTAGCCTCGCGCCCCCGGAGGCCCACGCGCGCGCGGCGGCCCCCCCTTCCCCTTGCTAGGAGGGCGCGCGGATCCGCATCGAGTGGCTCTGCGTGATCGCATCGCAGTTCGCGTTGCCCGCCCGCGGGGGCAAGGGCGACTTGGCGGACGTTTGCGAATTTGGACGCCGCCGAGGTCTCGCCCCATGCTCTGGCCACCCATGTTGCAGCTCTTGAGGCGTCCTTTTCCTTCGCCCCTCGTGCCCGCCCTCGTGCGGGTTTGCCCATGCGGCGCGCCAGTTGCCGGCTCGCTGGCTTCCGCGGCGGCGGGGAGCTCTTCCCGCGCCGAGCCCTTTGACCTTGGCGTCGGGGCGGCCCGCGTCAAGTGAGACTATTCGCCTGCGTTCGATCCCGCTCCCTTCCTCTCCGACACTCGGGTCCGCGCTGCCTTCCTGGGCCCCGAGGTCGCGTGCCCTTTTCAGGGGATCGCCAAAATTAGTTACCGAGCGCCCTGCGAGTGCTTGGGGGTTGGGGAGTGTGCTTGCGCGGTTCCCTGGGTTCTCACTTTTCCGTTCCCCCTGGTCAAATCCGGATTGGCGTCTCGCGGGCGAACGCACAGTTTCGTTCGGGGCCATGGGGCGTTGTAGTTTGATTTATCAAACCGTGGATAGCGTTACGCACAACATCGAGTAAGTTGCGGGGCTCGTGGACGCTATTTTACTTCCATCCGCAGGATCTACCGCGCAAAAAAGAATCAGCAACACTGTACCGTAGGATAATAGGAAAACACAAGCCCAGGAGGGCTAACGATACAGGCTACCGACAGGGGAAGCGAACAGACCGTGACAATCTATTCTGGGCAGGCGCACTGGTCTCAGTTGGTTGCAACAGTTCTCCAAGTTCTGACCCCCCCGTCTGTGCTTCAGAAGTGTGGCCTGCGGGGGTACGCTTCTCGTGCGGTTGCGCGCCTGGCTTCCGCCCCCCCCCGCGAAGCTTGCTTCGCCCCCGCGCCCACCCATGGGTCCAGGGTTCCCAGGGTCGTTGCCCAAGAGCGAAACAAAGACTGTATGCGCATACGCGAACTCATATGGGTTTCGCTCTCGGTGCGCGCTCTCAGCGCGAGGGCCGCAAAATTGGCTCGTGGTCGTTCGTCCTTTGTTCGTCGTCACTCCCCCGCCCCAAGCGACTCCTGTCCCAGCGCCCTTGGTTGGCTCCGTCCAGCGCGTGGCCCCCGCCCCAGTCCTGGGGCCACGCGCTCCCGGCTTTAGGCCCGACTCGCACCCGGCTGGGCTGGAGGGGCCCGCCTGGCCCTGGCCTCGGAGCCTTTTGGCTGAGGTCGTCGTGCATCGTTCGTCGTCGCTCCCCAGAAGTGGCATTGTGCCCTGCCCGTGGCCCCCGCCCCCGCTGGGCCCGGCCTGGCCCCCGGACGGCCCCGAGAGATCGCTCGTCACCCTTCTCCTCCTTGTGTCCTCGTGTGCGGACCAGATTAGGCACGGCACATCATTTAGCCGCTTGAGGGCCACCGGCGGGCCGGAGGCCGCTTCATAATGCACTCGGTGCTGCCGCTTGCTCACGGGCGTGCCAACTTTTGGACCGATTTCGTCTTCTCCCGCAGCTGGGGCCGAAGACCGCTTCATATATTCCACCCGGCATTGTCCACTGCGTACGGGCGTGCCATGTGGCCAGTCTTTTGTGTTCCGACTTCGTCGTGTTCCCCGGCTATGGCCGTGGGTTCATCAGCACGTGCCGCTCGTTAGTACACGCGTTCGGTTGCGAGGCTGATCATTAGACCATTTCCGCTTGCGGTCAGATCGACAGCTTGCATCCATCTTTTCCAGGCGCTCTGTTTCCCCACTCTTCGCTGCTCACATCCATAGTTTCCTCGGGGCGGGTGGAGGAGGAGGAGGAAGAGGAGGAGGAGGAGGATGATATAGGAGAGTGAGAAAAAGGCGGGTGGGAATGGGAAGTAAGAGGATCGTATTGGGGGAGGTGGAATACGCTTCGATGGATGATGAATATGAGCATGCATATGTGCATATGAATCATTTGGTGGTGATGTTGATGCTGATGGTGATGCTGGCGATATCTATGATCATGCCGATGTTTATGTACATGATGCTGATACTGATGCTGATGCTGCTACTGATGATGAAGATGATGGTAGTGGTAGTAATGATGCTGATCACCATCATGATAAATGTGGTGGTGGTTATGCTGATGTTGATGACGACTATGATGTTGGTGATGATGATGAGAATTATGTTGCTGATGATGATGGTTGTGGTGATGATGGTGAAGGTGGCGATGGTGAATCCGCTGCTGCTGCTGATGATGGTGATGATGATGATCACGACCGCGACGACGACCACACAGATGGTGCTGATGAGGATGATGATGCTGGTGCTTACGTTGATGCCGCGGATGATGGTGATGTTCATTATGGTGATGCTGCTGATGATCATGACGGCGATGACTTTGTGGACGAAGATGACGACAACTATGCCGATGGCGATGACGATGCTGATGGTGTCGCTACTGGCGATGATGAGGTTGATGATGATGGTGCTGCTGTTAGTGATAATGATGATGATCATGGCGAAGGCGCCGACGAGGATGATAAAGATGATGTTGATGCTGGTCGGGACGACGACGTTGATGAATATTAGGGCATGACGCTGTTGCTGCTGTTCATGATGACGGGCGATGATGATGATGGCGATGACGAGGATGCTGATGATGAAGGTGAGGACGATGACGCTGCAGTCGATGCTACTGACGTCGACGACGACGATGATGATACTGAATGATGATGATGATGATGATGATGATGATGATGATGATGATGATGATGATGATGATGATTTTGATAATAATGATGATGACGCTGGTGATGATGCTGATGATGATGCTGATGCTGCAGATCATGATGCTGATGCCAGGATGATGATGAGGATCATGCTGATTATGATGCTGACAATGATGCTGATGATGGGTGATGGTAATCGCGGCGACGATGACGGCGAAGCCGACGACGACAATCATGATGACGATGTTGATGTTGATGATGCTGATGAGTATGGCGATGCTGACGATGCTGCTGCTTATGATATGATGTCGACGAGGATGATGACGATGATGACGACGACGACGATAATGCTGCTGAGGATGATGATGGTGATGCTGCTGACGATGAGGATGACGATGACGATGACGATGACGATGACGATGTCGATGATGATAACCATGATGATGCTGATGGTGATGATGACGATGCTGATGATGATGATGATGATGATGATGATGA